TCCTATGAATGCTTTCCAGGATTGGGTTCCAAATTGCCTTCAGTCACTGGAACAGCTAACAAGCTTAAAGCTAACTTTAGAAAGTAACAAAGTATACCTCTTAAGCAGTGTGCTGCCCAAACTCATCATCTGGTAGAGAGTGATCTGTGGAAATATGCATAAATGATATTTTTAATGATCCCTAAAAGCCAGAGATTTGAAAAAAAAATACAGAGTACTTGGAAACCTTGACAATATTTTTTTGAAAGGCAAAACTTTTTAATATGTGGAAATGAACTTTTCAAAGGCTAAATTACCTAACCACCTTGTTTCAGCCACATTGGAGTATCCATTAAATTACCTTTTGTAGGTCAGTGTGTATGTGTGTGTGTGAGAGAAAGACAGGGAGAGGAGAGAGAGAGAGAGAGAGAGAGAGAGAGAGAGAGAGAGAGAGAGAGAGAGAGAGAGAATGAGAATGTATCTCTTCCCATAGAAGTGGAGTGTTTTTCATGTGGTTGTGAGAACTTTATATCCTTTGGTTTTTTATCTATTGAGTAACGGCTATTAAACACACACACACATATGTATATGCATATACACACATTATTGTTTATATATCTTGGATTCCAAACCTTTATCAGAGAAATTTGATTCAAAGATTTTTTTCCCTCATTCAATCATTTCCTTTTTTATTCTAAGGACATTGATTTTTTCTTTGTAGAAGCTTTTCAGTTTCAGGTTAATCAAAGTTATCTATTTTATCTTGTATAATTGCTCCTCTCTCTTATTTGGTTAAGAATACATCTCCTACCCATCGCTGTGAGATGTACATGATCTGTTTCTTTTCTAAATTTTTTATAGTATGGTCTTTAATATAAAGGTTGTTATTCATTTCGGGTGTATTGTGGAGTATTATGTCAGCTTTTGGTCTAAGCCTAATTTCTACCAGACTGTTTTCCAGTTTTCCCAGCAGTTTTTATCAAATAGAGAGTTTTTTTTCCAAGGTAAGATATGTTTTCCTCTTTATCAAACATTGGGTCATTGAATTCTATTGATCTGAAACTTTCTTGTGCAATCTGTTCCATTGATCTATCTCTTCTTTTTTTAATACTAAATTATTTTCATGACTGCTGCTTTATAGTATAGTTTGAGGTCCGGTAGTAGTATCCCTTTTTCATCCTTATCTCTTTCATCATTTCTCTGGATATTTTAGATGTTTTGTTTTTCCAAATGAATTTTGTTATTATCAAGCTCTGTAAATATCCTCTTGGTTATTTAATTGCCATAGCATTGAAAGTATAAATTAATTTTGGTAATAGTCATTTTTATTATATTGACATGTCCTAGCCATGGGCACTGAATGTTTCTCCAGCTATTTAGATTGTTTAGATTGTTCTTTAATTCTTTAAGGAATGCTTTCTAATTGAATCTATACAAGTCTTTTGTGTGCTTTTAAAGGTTGATCTCCAGATATTAATTTTTTAGTTATTTGGAATGTGATTTTCCTTTCTATTATTGCTTCTTGTATTTTGTCATTATGTAGAAATGCTGTTAATTTTTGAGGATTTATTTTGTTGCTTGCAACTTTACTAAAGCTATTAATTGTCTCAATAGTATCTTTGTTGATTCCCTGGCATTTGCCAAGTAAATCATCATATCATCATATCATCATATCAAACAGGTATAATTTTATCACCTCTTTACCTATCCTTATTCCTTTAATTCTTTTCTATTGTCTTACTGCTATTGGTAACATTTCCAATACTATACCAAAAAATAGTGGGGAGAGAAGGCATCCTTGTTTTACTCTTGTACATATTAGAAAAGGCTCTAGTATATCCCTGTTCTCCATGATGTTTACTCTTATTTTAGATAGATGCTTTTTATGATATTAAAAAAGGTCCCTCTATACCTATACTTTTTAGGGTTTTTACTTTGCAAAGGCTTTTTCTGTATCTGTTGAGAGGATCACAAGATTTGGGATGTTTGAGATTTTAATAAGATTAATTATGTTGATCATTTTCCTAAGATTGAACCATCTTCGTATCCCTGCTATAAATCCTTCTTTATAATAATGAATGGTTTCTTGTATAAATTGCTATAATGTTTTAACCAAACTGGGAGGGGAAGACCCTCAGGGCTGCTAGCCAAAAGAGAAACCGAATTCACTCTGGATCTCATGGATTGGCCAATAGGTCCCTGCCCAAGCACCACTTAATGATTATTTTTTGGGCTCTCCAGGCTCAGAGTGAATGTAAATAGTAACTGTTTCTCTTTTGGCCAGCAACCCTGAAGGTCTTCCTCTCCCAGTTTAATTATCACTATTATTATTGTTATTTTTTTATTATTATTAAAGGGACCATCCCTTGACTCACTTCTTAAAGAGGCTTATTCACTGAATGGGCGTTGACTCACTCAAAGTGTGAACCTGGAAAGACCTTAGCTTAAAAGGGCCAAGGTCTCCCACTGCATCCTGCGCCATCTTCAGTAATCCTGATCAATATTTGGCCACTGGACCTGAATGGCACTGGAGGAGAAAGTGAGGCTGGTGACTTTGCACAGCCCTCCTTCACTCAGATCAAAATCAGTTGCAAGTCATGTCATCATCTCCCTAATGTCATGGTCCTCTTTGAGAATGAAGGACAAACCACAACCACACACAACCACCTTGCTCATTTGATATTTTATTGATTTTATTTTCTGCCCTCTTCTTTTTAAGCTGATTAACTAAAGGTTTTAACAAGTTTATTATACTTTTCAAAGAACCAGCATTTAGTTTTATCATTTCTATATTTCTTGTTTATTTCCAGTTTATTTAGCATTTCCTCTCACTCTACCATCTTCACTCAAGTTGGTTTTTCTAAACAGTAGATCTGACCAGGTCAGACCAGCTTCAATGGCTCCCCGTTACCTCCATGATTAAATATAAACTATGTTTGGTAGTCAAACTCTTCACAGATTGGCTCCTTCTTACCTTTCCAGTTTTCTCATACTTTATTTTCTTCTGTGCACCCTTCATTCCAACAACACTGGCCTACTTGCAGTTCCTCAAAAATGATACTTCATATCCTTTTTTCCTCTTGACCCCCTTCAAATTCTAGTATTCATAGTTGCTAATTCTTTTTCTTCTGCAATATTGTGGTTGTTCAGTTCAGTCATGTCCTACTCTTTGTGACGCCATGGAGCATAGCATGCCAGGCCCTTCTATCCTCCACTATCCTTCAAAGTCTTTTGAAACTCATGTTCATTGCTTCCAGGATACTATCTAATCCATCTTATCCTCTGCTGTCTCCTTCTCCTTTTGTCTTCAATCTTTCCCAGAATCAAAATTTTTTCCAGTGAGTCCTGAATTCTCATTATGTGGCCAAACTATTTAAGCTTCAGCTTCAGTATTTTACCTTCCAGTGAATATTCTGAATTAATTTTTTAAAGGCATTGACTAATTTGATCTCCTTGCTGTTCTAGGGACTCTCAAATGTCTTCTCCAGCACCATAATTAAAACTCATTGATTCTGTAGCACTCAGCTTTCCTCGCAATCCAACTCTCACAGCCATAAGTTACTACTGGAAAAACCATAGCTTTCAATATATGGGCCTTTGTTGGCAATATACTGTCCAGATTTGCCATAGCTTTCCTTCCAAGGAGCAAGCATCTTTTAATTTCATGGTTGCAGTTGCCATCTGCAGTGATCTTTGAGTCCAAGATTATAAAATCTGATACCATTTCCATTTCTTCCCCCTCTATTTGCCAGGAAGTGATGGGACCAGTTCCATCTATTCATCTACTCTCTGTATCACACACATACACACACACACACACACACACACACACACACACACACATACACACTGAAACCCACTCTCACACATATGCATGCACATATATACAATTATGTATATATGTATGTGTGTTTACATATATATTTGTTTACCTGTTATCTTACATTGGAAGATAAGTTCCTTGAATACAGAGTTATGAGGATGTTTTCAGTAGGTCCACATCATAATACAATTCATCTACAAAAGCAGTTATTTTTTCCACCTGAGCAATAAATAGTCCACAGATAATTAAATATAAAAGAAAAATAGCAGATTACTGAATATATCTATCTGAATGCCATCAAGAAAGATGAGAAGACTGAAATGGTGTTGATGATGATGATGACGATGATGATGAAGATGACATTAACAACAATTAACATAAGATTTGCAATGTACTTTACATGTATTATCTGAGTTTTAGCCAGTCATAGAGCATCAAGGAATTCAGTCTTTTTCTCTTTGTTTTTCTGTTAATGTTTAATAGTACAGTATTGGTAATTTTTAAAAGCCCAATGATAAAAACAGTTGACATAACTTTTAGAATATTGGAATAAATGATGAGGGATGTATCTAGAATACATGGGTAGTTCACAGTTGTTCCACTCACATTAAACTTATCAATGGAAATATTGGTTAAAGTAAAAGGATAAAAATAAAAGTAAAATAATAATAGTCATTTCTACAATTTAATAGCATTATGGCCTTGTCCCTCAAAAAGTAATTCATTAATTCTTCATATAGCAATCAAGATATCACTTTAAAGATTTATTTGTACTGTGGTCATAAAGATTCATTACAGTGATCCTTTTTTTGTTACTGAAGTGTGTATTCAGTGATTCCTAAAACTAAGATAAATAACAAGCTGGAAATAAACACAAATTTATGGTGTGACGTTTTAAAGTACTTTCTTTGGAAAGTGATTCTCTGGCTTTAGTTTCTATATTATTTAATATTTCCATTTTAGGAAAATGAAGAATAAGAGAAGTTCAGAATGTAACATCATATACTTTATTGCCTTCAGTCAGTCCAAATAATTTTTTTTTCCCCAATAGTGTAAAAACTCTTATTTGTCGTTGGGTAGTTAGAAAAAAAGTGAGAACATTAGTTTTCATGGGGAAAACTTTGTTCCTTTTCAGAAGACCCTCTGGGAGAAAGCTAGGAAGAAAGACTGTCAAGTATCATCAGATTATTGCCAACAGTCACTGTGTCTCAGGAATGGGATTTAACAAAGGCCAGTATCTATCAATGGCTACAGAGGTAGATGAAGAAAATACTTTGTCTCCTCAAGCGGGCAAAATAAACAGCTACCCTAAGAAAGAAAGCAGACAAAAAGGAAATATTAATGAAACTAAACCAGCTGTGGTAAGTAAATTTACTACTTAGAATTTCACTTTACTTAGTCTCAAGATTTCATCTATTTGTGAAAATGACACTAATAAATATTCGTGTTTTATCATCTTTGGTGAAACTCAATATACTATAAATTGCCATATTTGAAGCAATAGATAGGTAAATTACAGTGCTAAATAAAATTGAAGTGCTAAATAAAAATTCAAGGGCCAAAGGGCAAAAGTATGAAAATTATTGTTTTAAGATTATCCATTGGAGTATTTGAATATTAAAAATGGTGCTAAAAGGGATCATAAATTTCCTTCTAAATTAATGAAGCTGCTTTTATTGACTGAACCTGGAACACTTGAGTGCTAGAACTTTTTTTTTTGGCCCAGTTTGGGGAATTACCAGTATGGGATCTTCCTTCACCAAATCAAATTGGCGACTCTGACTTGTAGTCTAGAGCTCCCTGGAGATAAAACCCTCTATTCACTTGGAAAAACATGAATTTTAAAATGTTCTCTTCCATGAAGGAGCTTATAGTCTTGTACTAAGCATGGTATTACAAAATTAGAAGAAATTTTGGATTGGGAGATTCAAGTTGTTGAGCCCAACTTCTTGCCTGTTTCATAGTATTACATAGATATCTCTTGGGAAAACTACTATTAACAACTCATGAACAGGATATGAAGAAGTCATCATATCATCTTAAGCATGATATTGGCTCTAGTCATTTGGAATTCACTATTCCTAAAAGTGTGGTACACAGTAGTCCATCCAGCTATTTTTGACCATACAGTTCTCAATACGTCTGAAGACACCATTAGGGGCAGCTAGGTGGCACAGTTGATAGAGCACTGGCCCTGAAGTCAGGAGGACCTGAGTTCAAATCCGGCCTCAGACCAAACACTTGACACTTACTAGCTGTGCGTGACCCTGGACAAGTCACTTAACCCCAACTGCCTAAGGGGGGCGGGGGAAGACACCATTAGTAGTTAAATGAAAGAATGAATGAAAAAGCATTTAATAAGCATTTACTGTGTATCAAGCACTGTTCAAATAGGAAAGGTAAAATAATCCCTGCTTTCAAATCCAATACAAAAGAGAGTTCCAAAGGCAGTACTAAAGAGAGATCTATAGAACAAATTGAAATACTTAATTGAATCATTAATTCTGAAAGATTGGTCACTAAACCAAGAAGAGCCCCCATTCAGGGGATTTTAAAGGGAGTGAACCCAACTTTTAGACCTTTTTAACTTTCAGTTAAATGTGCCAGAACCCTTCCATCAGGGGTATTTTGATGCACCCATTCTGAGTTACCTATTAGTCTATAAATAGGAAAAACTGTCTTGTCAGACAAAAGAGAGAGAATGACACCAAAAAAGGAGTGAGACCTATCTTCTTCCTTTGAAACAAACACCCATAAAGTTTCTCTCGATGTCAGATCTCTCATTACAAATCCTTTTATTAGAAGAAAATTCTGAAGTAGATTTTATGATATTTTCCTGTAGCAGTAATAGCAAACGCTAATGTAATAATACATAACCTGCTCCTGGCCCCATGTAACTCAGATGCTCACCTTTGCTTCTTATTAAGAAGCTCCTCTCAGCACTAGACACCAGGATATAGATGGGGTTCAGTTCTTGGAGAGGGTAGCCTTTTTCCCCTATACTCTGTGGCTGAGAGCTCTTCACCCTAGAGTTCCATGAATAATCACTTTAAAAATTTAGGTGTGGCTGATGTATGATGCTGTCTTAAAAGGAAGTACAAAGATATTTTATGTGCTTCTTTTTGGGGCAAAACATTTGCTTCCTACACATTTCTTAAGGGTATTGACCAAAAGAAAAAATCTCCTTAAATAAAAACAGTAACTTGTAACTATTAAAATATGAGACATTCAGTGAGATTGCTTTATTGGAATTTTACCTCTCCTACACTCTCTGTAATGTCTGAACAATTCCCACAAGGTCCATATCTTCAGACAAGCCAGGCAAAGTCTGGGACCTTTTCCTTTTGTCTATGGTCATCTTCTCTGAGAAGGGTATAGTTAAAGAATACCCCTAGCTTCTGGTAAGCTATAACTGAAGAATACAAGAACTTTCCTGACCCCTTTTAAACCTATAAAGCTACCTTTAAACCTAAAAATATCTTAGGATCACTATTCAGTCATTTCTGCTTAGGAAAGAACATATCAGAAGAGGCAGCTAAGACTTTCAGATCTAGTTTCAGGCTCACCTCACTTGGCATGTGTGCTGGCTATCATCTAGGAACAGTTACCTTTCTGCAAGGATTGGGGTATATACTAAAATTTTTCTGTCTCATGGATCAAAGAATCCAGCCCTTTTCCCTCCATCCCCCAAAGACAAGGAGAAAGAGAGGTTTAATGGGCAGGGTCACTCCCTTTAATATCAACTGAGTACTCAGTTTTTCCTTTTTTTAGGACAAATACTCTGAAGTGGCCTTTTCTCTTTGCTGTGTCCACCAAGGAACCAACCAAGGTTTGTTGTATTATCCTTACAAAATATATATACATATATATATGTCTTTCAGTACTGAGCCAGCATACTTTGTCCATTGAAAAGGATGAGAACAAATGTGTCACTAGAAGGAGACCAGTTCCAGGCGTTCTCCATTGAGTGCACTCTATATAGAACTAATGGAAAGTAAAAAGGGTAGTTTCCCTGATTACACTCATTACACCTGATTGAACAATGTTCAAGCCAGGCCTTCACCTCACCAGCCAAAGAATAAACGTAATAAAAACAATGATAATAGAAGTAGAGAGAATTGTAGAAGAGTGGGGGTGCCTCAGTAAGAAAGAGCACTGTTTTAATTTTAGACTCGTGAAAGCTCACAGTTTTTAGTGATGAAAAAAAATCTCTGAAAAACAATGATGTTACAGTGTTGTCCCTCTTAGAGTCAAGATTTTACTTTTAAAAGACCCATTCAAAACATTATAGCTTTTCCTGTTTTGCAGTACAGCTTTCTCATGTCTTCCACTGTTGTCCCTGAACATGACGACACAGGTTTTTTACCATTGGATGCCACTCTTAGGAGTTCTGGAGACTATTAGAAATGTAGTATTTATGATCATCCATAAACCAAGCCCTCTAAGTAGTCCTAAGAATAAGAATTAGAATTCCTAGACTATCCAGCAACAGTAGATCTATTTAGTCTCCATCAAGGGGACATTTTACTAAATAAGTATACTTTTTTATTGTAAGCAGATTCTATCATAATCTACAATTACCTATTAAAGTCATAAAGATTTATGAAATTTATAGAAATCTAAGTTCTCCTAGCTGACAAGGATTCCTTCAAAATGCATTCAGAAACCAGGAGTAAGAAGGTTTGATTAAATTGATGTTGCAGTCAGAGTCTCTGTTTCTGTTGATCGTAATGGTTTGTAGCCCTTATTCCTGAAGATTGTTATCTCCTCCTTTTTCTCAGGTTGAAAAGATGGGCTTAGAAACTATAAATGTGGACACCCCAATAAAAATGAAATTCAACCTTTCCAGCCTTGGCGTTAAGTTACATGTTCTACAATTCATGGCTGCCATTGAGTCACTCAACAACCACATTCAATACATCATCTCACAGGGAAATGACAATGGCATCTTCCAAATTGACCAACAGGATGGGCTAAGCTACTTGCACATGGCCAAGAAAAAATCTGTGCCTGGAACATACACACTGGAGATCACTAGCATTCCTCTGTATAAGCAGAAAGGACTTGAGAAACTGGAAGATAGTAATGAGGACAACTACCTCCTAGGGGATCTTGGTGAAACTCTCAAAATGAGACTTCAACTCTACTAGCTCCTTTATAGACTTGGTTCAGTTTTCAAGTCACTGAATAATCACTAAATAGTTCACCTATTTAATCCACCTGAGCATATCTAGTCTTCGAAAGCAATGAGTCTGACTTTTTTTTTTAAGAGAAAAAAATAAGACTTTTATTACTCTTTCCCTCCTTTCCCACTTGCCTTGTCCCCAAATGTACTTTAAACTCTGCTGTGGCCAAAAATTTGGGTACAAAGGAACCGGGGTTACTGCGTTTTTTTTTTAATAACTACTTTAAAATGCATGAAAAAAAAAACAACCTAAATGTTCAAGAGATCAACATATGGCATTAAATGCGTAAAAATGTGAGCTTTTTTTCCTGTTAACAGTCTGTAACAAGTTAGGTATTTTGCTATAGTTCAGTAATTTAAAAAATATAGATATTTATTTTAATACAATAATATATGGAGAAATGAACAACTACACAAGAAGGGAAACTCATTTGTTTTTCTTTAGATTTATTAATTTATAAATTCATTTTAGAGGTGATGTTTTTAAAATTCAGTAGATTCAAGAGATGTATCCTTTTTTCCCCCAGTCATCTGTCCTATCTTAAACAGAGTCTTGCAGAGCTGAATGAAAATTATAATAATTTTTTTAAATGAGAATTACATAAGACTATGTAAAGGAGGATCTAAATCAGAACAGCTCACTGTGTTTGTGTTCTATATCACCAGACACATTAATAGAAGATGAAGCACAACCCCTGTAGCAAAATACTTTGACTACCTATAATACCATTAGCATTGCAGACCAAATTGTACTATTTCCTTCTCATAACCTCAAGGAAGTACATGTGTTATCCATAACACCTCATTCTTAAAAGGGGTGCTCTATATATTTGTGTTACTGTAGGCATCTGAAATGTCATTCTTTTGAAAGGAACTCCTGAAGTTTCCCAGGGTTTGGTGCTGGCTTAGATTAATGGTGCATTTACTATGATCAGGCTATTTCAGGATTGCCATATGTGCAAACTAATCATGCAGTGCAGCCAAGGAAATGTGTGTTTTTTGAATTTTTTTTTAGAACTTCCATTAATGCTGTAGTTATACACTGTATGCTTCATCTTGTCATAGTCTATTGTGTATGAAAGGTGCTTGTACAATTAATTGATGTTTAGTTTGCTTTAGTCTTTTTTAAGCTATATTATTATGTGCTAATAAGGCTTATTGTGTCCCACTAGTGCTTTTTTGACAGGTGTTATCTATATAAGGGCACACAACCAAACCTCATACGTAAAACAGCCAAAGCACATACATACTCCAGGTTTGTTTCTATCTTGTACCTGTGCTAACCAAACATTAGTAACCAGTTATATCCAATGTTTTATTTTTTTTTGTTTTGTTTTGTGGGAAAAGAAATATTATAAATTTGTAATCAAGTGTTTGTGAGGAAAGATTTTTGGTTTTTGCTTTTGTTTGTTTTTATAGATCTGTATCAAATATGAAAATACTTTTCTTGCATTAAAAGCTTATTTTGGGATAGATTTTCTAGAATTACCTGTATTTTAAGAGTATGGAGCCCTTGTTATACAGAGATACTCTCACAAGGGACATTTGGCATTTGTAAAACATATAATTTACTCTCACATAGATTCATCTTCAATGGAGCATTGTCATCAAGATGCATCTTCCAACTAGCAAGCAGCTATTATGTGTAGTAGATAGAGTACTGGGCTTAAAGTTTTAAAAATCTAGGCTCAAATCCTCCCTCTGACACATACTGGCTATGTGACTCTGGGCAAGAAACAACTTTTCAGTTCTCTTAGGCAACTCTCTTAAGACTCTAAGTTTCAAAGTTGGTAGGGGAAGTTTCCTTATCAGAAATTCCTTTTGTCAATGAAATCACAATTTAAATCCATTTAAAAAAATTCAGAGGTAGTCATTTCCCAGAAGCCTGATATTTACTTAAATATGTATTTTTACAACAATTTTAAACTTTAAAAGATTTGACTAAAGCACTAGTGTGTACTTTAATATTCATCATGTTAAAATTATATCATAAGATCATAGGTTTAGAGCTGTCAAGGACTTTAGAAGCCATTGAGTTCAACCCTCTCATTTTACAGATGAGAAAACTGAGGCATCGTCTACTGTCCCACAGGTTTTGAGAAAGGATGTAAAACAAAGTCTTCCTTCAAGTCTATTTCCATATCTACTATGCCATGTTGCATCATCCATCAGTGAACTAGAGACAGAATCCCTTTGGGGAAGCTTTTCTACTATAGTCATCCCCAGAGAATCTTTAGGACATTATTTAAGGATGGAAATTCCCCTCAAATTTGCTGTACTTTTTTTTTAAATCAATGATAATAGCTAAGGAACCCACAAGGCAAAATCCTACCTATATTAACAAGTAAGCAAATGTTTTCTCTCCAGCAAAACTATTTTCCCCTTAATATAAAAAAGTTTGTGTGTACACACACATAAAAATAATGTGTAATGTATGTATATATATATATAACACTATGTAATGTGTTTATATATATTATATACTAATATAGTATAGTATTAGTATTAATATACTAATACAACATGATGTTTGGAGCTTTAAAAGTTACATGTTGAATTTATACTTGTAAATTTAGTGGAGATTCACAGTGTCATGTACAGTTCTCTCCTCTACAGTGTCTATGGAAATGCTCACTTTATTTAGGGTTTATTAAATTTGGAATAAAAATAAAATTTAAAACACCTAAGATGCTCTGAGATGCATCTTATAATTAAATACAAACTTTAGGGAATCATATACTTAAATTATGGGTCCAAGGAACTTGGAAAACAGGAAAATATTATGATTGATCTCTACTAATCTTTGCCAACTAGAAATTGGCTTCAGTGAGTAATTAAAGCATTTGCCTCTGGGTATTCTCTCAAACTTGACTGTGTATTTAATTTCATCTGGCACTGTTGCATTTTGAATTTTGTAATATGGAATTATCTGAAGCCAAATTTGACTTTAGCTCTGAAATTTTAACAAGTAAAAACTCCTACTAAGCTTCAGTCTTCTTTTGAAGAAGCCTGAGAACTCGCAACACTGAGGAGAAAAGCTTTATATATACTATATCACGATGAAAATTACCATTTTGAGTCATTCTTTTTAATAGAATTTGGACTGTGTTCTGGAAGTAAGTAGTGCTACCAGATCTTATGGTCTCTAATATAGCCAGGATAAATTGATGTCTGATAAATTGATTGCTAATGATATTTTCCTTCCTGTTTTATCATTCCTGTTAACAGCTTCTAAGACAAAATCTGGTTTTACATGTGTTGAATCCAGTGATTAGTGTTCAGTCCCTTTGGAGGTAGAATTTTTTTTTTTTACAATTCAGATTGTTTATGTCTTTGTATTCCACTACTCAACTAAAGCAGTTAAAATTTAGTTGGGCAAACACATATCAAGGTTTCAATAAGACATGGAAGCCAATTCTGTTTTGTTTCAGGTTTTTTTTTTTTCTCTATTGCCAGAATGATGACCTAGTCTGAAGGTTCCTTGAGTCTGGAAAGTCATGAGATGCCACAAATACTTGCCTACTAGAAACATTAGCCTAGGGAAATATTTGTATTGTTATTATATAGGTAGACATTCTAAAGAGGGTTTAAAATGGTCACTGTTGGACTTTAGAGACCACAAAGATGTCAGCTTTCATTTTTTCCTACATTCTATGTTGTTTATTAAATAAAATCATTTTTTCTAGCTATCCACTGATGAAAGTCAATATAGCATTGGATTTAAGAAGCTTGTAAAAAATCTCACATGATCATCTTTGTTGATTCATTTTTCAAATTTACAGTGACTTGATAAAAGTACAATTGTGAGAGCTAGAAGGAAACTTAGAACTCTAATCCAATCCACTCACTTTATAAGTAAAGAAATTGAGACATAAAGAGAAAATTACTTTCCTAAGACCACACAGGAGACAGAACCTAAACCAGAATTGTAATCTTCTGACTCCCTTCTTACGGATTGTCTAGTCAAATACTTTCATTTTGTAGATGAAAAAACTTAGGCCCAGAGAATTTAAATGAAATGCTGATTTGCCCAAGGTCACACACTATTTGAATCTAGGTCTTATACCCAGTGCTCTTTCTATTATGTTGCCTGCAGTGATCTCCATTTCCTACTTTAACATTCTAAGAGTCTGAGGGCTCAATACATGTTAACTAAAAGACACACTTCCTTGGTGCCTAAGACCATGTAAGTCACCAGTGCTCTGGTGACTTGCTGACTAGAAATGTTTACAAATGGAGACCGGGGGTGGGAAACGTGGGGGGCTTTTCCAGAGAAGCTAACTGCCATTGTGTCATTGCATATCTTTTCTATGTTAAGTTAAAGTAAAATTTGTTAAATGGTAAGTCTCCTGCCTTTAGGATAAGAGGAGAAAACTATTCCATCTCACCAGGCCTACTGCCTGGTTTCCTGCCTACCTCAGGAAGAGGAGAAACATCATTCTATTGAACGCCAGACAATCAACATTAAATACCTACTCACAATCTAATGGGGGAGATCCCATGTAAACAACTCTGTGCGAACAAGCTATCTACAGGATTAAAGGAAAATAACAGAGGGAAGGCAGTAGAATTAAGAGGGATTGGGAAAGGCTTCCTGTAAATGGTGGGATTTCGTCTGGAAAGTCAAGAGACAGAGATGAGGAGAGAGAGCATTCTGTGCATGGGGGCCAGCCAATGACAATGCTCCAGAGTCAAGAGTAGTGCCTTGTTTGAGGAATGATAAGGATGCCATCATCACCTGATTTAAGAGTGGATGGGAGTGGGGGGAGAGTGGAGTGTGAAATATATAAGACTAGAATGGGATGGGGGAGGAGCCAGGTTATGGAGGGCTTTGAATGCCAAACAGAATTTTATACAGGATCCTGAGGGTGAAAGGGAGCCACCTGAGTAAAGAGTAGGGGAATAGGAGTTGTCATGTGGTCAGATCTATAATTTAGAAAAATCACTTTTGAGAGGGGAGTGGAG